CATGCAGCTTTCCAGAAAATACCAAAAACAATGACTTGTACCTCGTCCGTAGGCGAGACTTGGCAAAAACAAATCTCATCACATCAGCCAGCTATTTGGATACAAATTCCAGAGTAAAATGCAGCATGCATTCCAGTCCAAACATAGTCACAGCACACCGGGTATATCCATATACTTTCATACTGACAGAGAGGGCTGCCACGATCATGAAGCAAACTGTCTGGAAATATCAACATATCATCGAAAAGCAGTCTCGACAAACAAACTTTACTACGTTCCGATGGCGCAGGATACTTGAAGGATTGAATTTACCAGTACAAATGCGACCTGAGCTGCAACCACCCCCTGAGCTCAACCAGGAAGAGACTTTCCTGCACCAAGTCGACTGATCGTGCGCTCTAAACGAGCACTTTCCCAGTGAGAGGCTGGCACTAGGTAAAGACTGACTCCGGGCTTGCTTGTGATCCTGGGAAAAAAGAAAGAGCAGTACACAGCAGTCACATCTCCTTTGAACAATGATGTCCTTAATCACACAAGTATCGTGTGCGCTGTTACATGTAGTTCCCACTCCCTGCAATCCTATTGGCTCAAATGCACAGCAGTAGATAGATCTGCTGCCTCAGCTGAGTTTAAGAAAGGGGTTAGATCTATAGTGCCTCCTTATCTCGGTAAGGGATAGATATAACAAACCTCTCCGGTCATTGGGCTAAGGGTATTACTCACAGGCTTGTGTCGTCCATACTACAGATTGCACCCTGAACGTTCGTGCGCCGGGACCTTACTCCACGATATTGCCCTTTGTTGCGTAATCTCCTCTTACCTCCTCGTTCTTCTTTCCCGTTGGCTTCTGGTTTTTCTGGCCAAAGACGTGCCAGGGCTACCAGCGCCTCTCTCCACCCCCCCCTCTTGTTGATTTGCTCTCTCTTCTCGCCTTTGTTCTTTTGACTCGTCCTTGTGCTCTGCTCCCTCTTTTTCCCCTTTTTTGTTCCCTCCTTTCTCTCGTGCCTGGATTTTCTGACTGAAGACTGTCAGGGCTTCCAGCTTTCCTTTTCCCGCTTCTTCCCCCCCTGATTGCACTTAACTCCATCACCGCCTTGAGCGCCGCTTCATTTGTGCCGTCTTGGTTGATTTCTTACTTTGGGTGTTTTTGGTTCCTCTTGCTTCCTGTTAAGGTGCTTGAACTGCCTGGCCAAAGACGTGTCAGGTTTTTCAACACTTTCCTCCCCCCCCGTTTTTGGTTTTGCTCTGGTCGCTTCCGTTTCGTTGGTCTTGGTTTGGGGGTTCCTTCTTTTCCTTGACTTTGTATTTCGATACTGACAGTAGTGCTTGAGTCTTCTGACCAGAGACGTGTCAGGATTCTCAACACCTACCCATCCCTCCCCCTTTATAACCGTTACACCCAAATCAGCCACACAGGAACTGAACAGTGAGATGTCTCTGCTTTCCAGGGAACAAGCTGTGAAATCCTGGTACGCAAAGAACCCTACAATCAGCTTCTTTGATCTGCTTTACGCACTTGAACAGCACAAGAGCATTTCGACTGAGTACGGGCTGAATGTCTCTATTGAACAGCACTGGCGATTTGGAGACCCCCATAAGACGACAGCTGCACCTGATCGACATGACTACGAAATTGCAATGGTAAACGGGAGGGAAACCTCACCTGGACCTGACTGGCACAAGTTGTACCGATGGTTGGTGAGTCAAAGCTCTGCTTTCTTGTCTTACCACACCGTGTATTTGGTGACGGACAATCGTGATTTGCAATCGGACAAGGTCAAGTCTGTGCATGGACTCAGCCATTGGCCAATGGTCGCTGCTTGGTGGAAAGAACGGTTACGCTATGTCCGCCCATATGGAGAACTCACCACAGTTGTCTTTGTTCACATCTCAGCTGACACTGGTCTTCATAAGGTACACCCAACATGGGCAGGGACGTACATCCTTGATGCTTGTGTGTTCCTCTTTCCGACCATCAATTTTGCACTGATTGACAGCGATTGTGTGCCAGTGACCCTCTTTGAGATACAAGAACTTTGGCTAGCGAGCACTGACCCAACACGACCAGCTACAGCAAGCAAAGTTACAAAGAGCAAACTGTCAAGCCCCATTGCGTCATCGCACAAACGTGCGCGCTCTGTTGACACGGGAAGGGACATGCAGCAGCCTGGTCCACCATCGAAGTTATCTAGATCGCATAGTGCGGACGATCTTGCTGTCCGAAAAGCTGATCCACTACGAGCCCCTCCCCTCACCTATGGTGCCAATTTGGCAGACGAAGTTGACTATGGTGATTCGCCAGACCCGAGTCCCCGCATGTCTCGTCGGGCGACGTCCAGCAGCGATGACTCTTCCCCGGCTGGGTCAACCAAACCTATCCGGAAGGACAAAGCAAACGTGGATGGGTAGGGGGATGGGGTCCCCAATACCACGTCCATAACAGGGGGAGGTGGACCCGAGAGGGTCCGGGGGGACGTTAAACTAATGCTATAGCGCCGGGGAGTTGCTGAAGGCCCCCGTCCCTAACGAACCGTGAATTAACACGGTACCTTGGTACCCCCTAGTCGGCGTGTGTTGACATGTTGGGTTGCTCCTCATGTCACACCCTCGTTTGTGTTTGCGCACATCCTTGGGTGATCGTGCGGTATCTCGGGGTTCTCCCGGACCGATCGGTACACACGTGGTACGGGACCGACGGGTCTCACCTTACCTTGTGTCTAGGGTAGCAACACCCAATGATGACACGTGTGAAAACACGAGAGCGGCGTGGCAGCTCTTTTCACAGCTCGGACTTGAGCCAAACCACACATTTGACAGCTCAGTCACTCTTCTTCTTAGAAGAGTCGTGCAGAGTAAAACGCAGTGACACTCAAACGTCTTCAAACTTCTCAAACTACTTCAAAAGAGTTCTCAAGCTTCAAAAACGTTCTTCCAGCTTCTCCAAATAAAACGTCTTCAGCTCAAACTCACAAATAACCTACAAAACTCCTACCAAATAAGTTCACAACATCAAGTTCCTAAGACATGGGTCAAACAACATCCAAAAACACCAAAAACCACAAAAACAAACGAAAATCCATCTCCAAGCTCTTCCATGCACAAACTGGTTCCATTTGGTTCCAAATTGGTTCCTACCTGGTTCCTATAGGTTCCTATGGGTTCTATAGTTCACAGATCGGTTCCTACAAACTTAAAATGGTTACCTAACTGTTCACATGCACATGCATTGTTCCAAGATAGGTTTAAAGATGTTCAAGTAGGTTCAAGGTGGTTCAGTACACTGTACATCCTCTCACCAAACTTTCACACCCCTTCTTGGACAGTAGTGCTGTACACCGAAGTACCTATAGACTACCATACCGTTTGTAAGGCAACTAAGTTCTGAACCCACACAACTAAGTTCCAGACATCACCAACTAAGATCCATGCTCAACAACTAAGCTAGGAACTAGCGCACAGAAAACTCGAAAACGTCCTGGGTTTTAAAGTGTCCTCAGAAAGATGGTTATGGGGTATGGTTGGTTGGTCTCTTTCTGAGTAACCCACAACTTTGGAACTGAGTTCACAACTTCTGCACAAAGTTTTGTTTGAAAACGTTTGTCATTTGGAAACCTTGGTATTTGAAACTGTCTCACGTTTGTCATCCTCATCTCATCTAAGTAAGGGGAAACTGGTGCCAAGGTCTGTCCTCTGGGTATGGCCTTGGTGTCCAGTTCTTTTTGGGTATTGGGATAGACCCCAACGGGTACCAAGTGTCCAGGTCTCTGACTAATGGCCTTGGGAACCCTAACCCCTCAAACTAGGATCATTCAACCATAATCCAAAACAAACTGAAACATGTTTTCAAACCCGTTTTTCCAAATGCTTTGCAACGGTTTCACGTCTCTTGGAACCTTGGCTTCTAAACCCTGTAACTTGGCAGTTGCAGAACTCTACAACTTCCTTGGTTATCAGCCCAACTTGGTATGACAAAGTCTTGGTAGCTGAGCTGAATGCATTGAGCGCTGAACAGAGGTAGCAGTGCTAAGCATTCCACAGAGTATCCAAGAGTCCTAAAACTCTGGATGGTCTTTACTAAGCGCTGGACATCCAGTTATGGAGACCCTCCCAAACCCAACATGTTGTGCACTGGGGTTCAAACCCTTCAGAAGATAAAGCCAAACCACAGTGACCAACGATCCATGGAGAAGGTCCACAACAGGAAACCCACTGCAACGCACAAGGACAGAACGTTCAGGAAGAGTCCAAAAACAGGTCAAGTTCAAGACGACTCCAATCAAGTTCAAATCAAGTTCAATCCAAGTTCCAAGAACATGCAATAAACAAACATGTTATGTTATGATCCTCAGCTGCAGGGGTATTTCATATGGCATTGCCATCTTTCTCATGACCCCTTGGCAGCTACATCATTGGATCATACAAGTACCTTAGTACAGAACAAAGAACAACAACAAACGACAGAGGAGTTGCAAAAACCGTCCAATGAGTCCACAAGTGTCCAACTAGTTACAACTGACATCAAAACAGATAACAGCAGTTAAACCTGATGACATCAAACTGCAACACAGTAACATGAACATCCATGCAAACTGCAAAACTGGACATCTGCAAAACCCTATCCTACTCCTAACGGCTCCAGCTTACTAGACGGCTCCAGCTCTGTACAAGGATTGCTGTCAAGAAAACGAAATGAAAACTGCAAACCAAAGTACATGAAAGTGCAACTGCAAACATCGACAGTGAATCCACTCCCATGCAACTGATTGCACAACAGATTCCATCTCTCCTTTTTCAAAGCTCATCGAACACTGATGCTGCTTGGAATGAACCTCGAGCTCATAGAGCTATTCTTTCACAAGCTGCCAGGCACGTGCAGAGCTTTACATTGAAATCCAAAAACATCAAAATTATCTATGTGACCATGCTACAAGGAAGGACTCTCAGGCTCATTGCTCCTCCCAAAACCAGCTTCATTTCACATAGATCTCGGCAGTCTCTGGCTAATTGAGTGGGACCGCCGTTCGAATGAATTCGTCAGAAATCACTCGATATACCAACTGGCCCAACTGGAGAGTTCCCATACCATACTCCTCTGCCCACCCTGCCGGGATTGCCTCTCGACGAGCAGGGTTGGGCGAAACGGCCCGTACGATTTCCGTCCCATCATGGGTACGCAGGCGAATGCGCCCTGCGCGCTGCACAACTGGCGCTGCAGGCGCTGCCGGCGCTGCAGGCGCTGCCGGCGCTGCAGGCGGTGGTGCATAACCAACAGAGGCCGGTGGAACAGGTGGGAAGCTCGTTCCTGTATTGGCTGCCAGTCCTGGAGTTGTCGGTGTCCCGATTGGTGGTGGTGCCAGGGGAGGATTCATCGCGCCCGTAACTCCATGGACTCATAGATGCTCAGGGGGGGGGCTACCCTAACGGGGCCCCCCTTCGGGAAGTAAGGCCAAAATAAGGAAATAGATCCGGAATAAGGCCTTATTCCAGGCTTATTTCTCTTATTTCCTAGAATCAAGGAAATAAGGCTGAATTAAGCTTATTCCTGGCTTATTTCTTGAAAGAAATTATGAACCCGAATTAAAGAAATAAGCTTGTTTCTGGCTTATTTCTTCATCGAATGAAAAACGCTTATTTCCCAAATTCTTTTTGCCTCAATCATCAGGGAGAAACAAAGGAATAAGGAAATAAAGGGTTTCCTCTGAGTTCTGTTTGGTCGTTGGAAAAGCAAGTGTTTGATATGTTCCTTTGAGCCAGAAGACTTTGAGATAGAAAAGAAGGAAATCAGAAATAAGGACATGGTTCAGCCGCTCAGCCAGGGTACAGTTCGAACATTCCAGTTGGTTGGAAAAATGTCGTTCCTGTTGTTGAGAATGTTTGTTCTACATTTCTGGATTTGCTGCTGTCAATTTATTGATGCAAAGCACTTTCCAAACACGGCGGCTGGAAAACACCTGGTATGGTTGCAAATTGTTTTTCCTTTGCCAGTTCCAGGAATTGAGTCGGTGATGGCATGAACATAATTTATTGGGGCAGAAATCTTTAATGTGAGATCAGAATTCAGAAATGGATGTGAACCGGGGTTCCAGAAAATTTCCGGGTTGAAAAAGTAATTAGTAGGGAAGGCCTGTTTGATTGTTCAATGTACTGGGTTCTGTGCATTTATCTTTTCAACAACCATTATGACCATGTTACCTCGCAAAAGTTCCCGGGGAACCTTTTTTTGGATTTCAGGGTGTGCATAAGGGATTACAACATTCCAAAGGGCCTCCAAAATTGGCAGCGTATTTCACTCTTCCATTGGAAAAGAGAACCGGTTCCCCAATAAGCAGTAGATGTCAACATGTCATTTTGCGAAATTCCCAATGTCCTTATTTCCTGGGTTCAATTTCTTTGTGAAGACAGGAACTTCCACCTTGGGGATCAACAAACAATGGAAGCCATATTCTTGGAATCCTTTTTTTCATGGTGATAGCGGTGATTTGAACCTTAATCCCTTATTTCTCTATTCCAACCACATGAAGTGAATAGCCGCGGAGTAAAATGTGTTTCATAATCTCATGTCCAGGGAACCCCCTAATTAGCGGCTGAGAATTCCAACTGTATGCCAATGAGTGCTTAGTTTATGGTGCTGATAACGATTTCATTTGATACTTACTGGGGTGTCGTTGAATCCTTTTTTCCCGCAAAACCTTATCGAAATAAGGCTGAATTAGGGAAATAGCGGTTCGCAATGTCTATCTTCGGATTCGATGAAGAAATAAGGGCTTATTCCCTAGAATTAAGCCCGAATTAAGCCTATTTCTGCTCAACCTAAAGCTTGACACCTGAGCCATAGAAATAAGGAATTAGGGTGGTTTTTTGTGGCTTTCTTATTTCTAGAAATAAGGCTGTTTTAGGGGGGGGGCCCGTTAGGGTAGCCCCCCCCTGAGCATCTATGATGGACAGCAGGGCTCGCTGCTGTTGTAGTAGGTCCAACAGGAACCCCAGGAGCTGCAATACTCGGCCCCACAGGAACTCCAGTTGATGCCACACCCGGTCCCACAGGAACTCCAGTGGGTGTCACACCAGGTGCAACCGGAGCAGCAGTCACAACATTCACCTGCCCCAACGCAGTCACCATCCTGTCTACGGCAGATTCAATGCCCTTCAGGTACTGCAGGGTTTGTTCATGCTGTGCACGTTTTTCTTCCTTGATTTCTGCCAACCTCCTGTTCCCTGTATTGATCTTGTCGTTCAAATCACGACAAAGCTCTTTCAGAGTTGGATTGACTTGGGATTTGTTTCCAGTCACTTGCCAGCTGAGATTGTTAATGGCCGTCGAGTGCTGCTGCATCGATGTTAGGAAGTACTTGGCGGACACTTGGTCCACTCCTAACTGAATGCAGAGAGCATCTATATCCTTCTTGGTCTGCTGCAAACTTTCATTGGTTCCGTCCAAAGTGGACGTCGAGGCGGTGAGGCAAATCACAACGTCCTTCACAACCTTCACCAATCCATGAATTTCCTTACGAAGTCGGCTCTTCTTTGCCGGCGGCTCATCACCAGTTTCAGCTGCACGTTTGTCGGCTGGATTCGCAGCTTCCTCATCTGAGCTCGGCAAACTTGCCGCTTCATCACGAGGAGACGGCTTCGGCGAAGCTTTTGGAGATGCAACACCTCCCACATGCGTGGGTGTTGCTCCAGGCACTCCATAGGGCACGGCTTCTCCAGTTCCCGGCGCCCTTGAGCTATCTGCCGTCGCATTTGCGGCATCCGGAGCTTCAGCCACCGTATCGACCTTTGCAACTTCCGTTGAGGTGTCAACGTTACTGCCCCATCTTCCAAAGAAAGTAAAACGGACGGCAATACGAAAAGCAGGTGATCTTAGATCCAGAATGCTATTGGCAACTGTGCTAGATGACAAACAATAAAACACGGCTCCCAGCATTACTTAGACGGACAGCTTTTCGTACTGCTTCACTTTACTTACCAAAAATGAAAACCAAACAACATGTTCCAAAACAAAAACAAAACTTGAGGTTTGGAAAAACTGGTGTTTCACTGGTTTTCGTTTCCGTCGTTTTGTTTCAAAACGTGTCGTGGCATGACATGCAAACGAAAAACTTTCAACAACTGCAACCTGCGTGTCAACATGTAGGCCTCCATGTGCACTACAGAAATTACAGTCAGACAGCGAAAAGTCCGAAACGAGTTCACATCACCTCACTAGTCAACATCGTCCAACAATGCTCACCAGTCGCACATGACAAAGACTGACCAAAGAACCGAGACGGAAAAGGCCAGGACACCGTCACGGAAAACAGAAAAACTCCAGCAAACCATCCAGACGGGACAACAGAAGTACTCAAGGTCCACATCCGCCGATTCGCAACAAAAGAACAGTACAAAGTGAAAACTGTAGGAAGGTTCAAAGACCTTCAGTTGGAGCAAACTGGATTCCAGGCGGTCACCTGCGATTCCAACGTCTATCGAATTCAAAACCTTAGCAAAATGCCGTTGAGTCACAAGCGAAAACAAAAGTTCCTTAGCAAAGTGCCTCAGTGGAACAGGCTTGTGTCATGCAATTCGTTCAGAAATTTCAAAATTCAGGTGCTACCGACCCTTCCAACAACAGACTTGACATCTCCCCTTCTTCGGCTAGCAACTGTAGCTTACGCTGAAAAGTACGGATCCATGACAAGCCATTTGTGTCGAGTCCTAGCACCAAACCTACGCAACAACCCTTCCATCGAGCTGATGCTGATCGCGGCCGTCGCGTCTGGTTTCTAGAAAACACCTTGATGCAGCAACCTACGAACATCAAGACTCCCCCTGACACGGAGGCCACATTCCAAAACGCGTCGCAGAAACCAACAACGCTTCGCGGTCCTACGCTTGGCGATCCTTCCGGAGAAGGCATGGTCTGCACGCGGTGAAGGCGCGTCAACAACCAATGCAACAGTGCACGCAAACAAGCTTCTGCTGCACCTGATGGTTTCGACTGGAATCGCGCAAGGTATGAAGCTGAAAAACACAAATCTGCTCTGGACAAAGCGGCCCACACCAACTGTCCTAGAACCCTGCGATACCGTGCTTCACCCTCCGCTGTCAGAGGCGTGTCTTCGCCCTGTTTCTCGCGATCCTTGTAGATCTCTTCCAGCTTTGGTGGTGTCTCGTTTGGTTTCAGTTTCTCGTGCCAACTGTCGATGACCCCTGTCATGTATGCTTCACTGACCCCCAGATTTAAGGTGGATTCCCCATCCCTTTCTCGATAAATGGTTCTCCCCAAAAACTGTAGGACGCCTTTCTCAAGCGCTGGAATCCTTCCAGTCAGTTTGATTCGCCAAATCTTCTGCAACTGTTGCAAGAACGATTCACCCTCTTGCGGACTTTCAGCCGCGACGAGTAAGTCGTCGACGTACACAAGCACTAAAAGCATCCCATTGGGCGTCTGCAACCTGAATAAAGTATTCTCAAAGGTGTCTTGACCTCCCATGGAATATACCACCCGCTGCAATTCGAGAAACCACAACAGTGGGGCTCGCCTAAGCCCATTCATGGCTTTCCCTAGCCATGCGATCACTCGACATCCCTTGATTGTGAGGTTCGCCGGAAGTAACACTAAGTCACAAGCTTCAGCTTCCACTGGCGCATGCATGAACGCCGCAGAAACATCAGCAGTCAGCAAACTGAGATCTTTCACCACGGAAACTGCTAGCACACAACGAAGCCCGTCCAACGACGACGTTGGAGCGTAGATCCCAGCATTCAAAGCTGAGGTCCCTCCCGTAGCGAAGTCTCGCACTACAAGGCGACACCGAACGATTTCTGAAGTCTTTTGGGTCAATACCCAACGTGAGGTCAAGACCGTGACTTGCTTTTCCTTAGCTAGTGCCCGACCGTCACGTTCAACAAGGCAGCGCCCGACCTTAAGTCGTTCAAGCTGCTGAACCTCAGTTTTCATTTCCTGTTTTACCTGTTCAAAGTCTAAAGCAGCTCCAGTGAGCTCGTCAAAAGACCTTTCAGGGATGTTAACCCGTACTCTTTGACCTCCAAAATCCTCTTCAAAGAAATCACCATTTCCCTCACCGACAGGGAAAACACAACCAGACTCTCTCAAACAAAAAGTGTTCCACACATCAGCTTGTGTTTGAAGAATAAGGTTGTTCAACCACGCATCCCCTTCTTCCTCCTCAGATCCTTCCCCTTCTGAACCCTCATCGACCCTGTCGATCGTCATGGGCTCAGGACCTTCACCTATCTCACCTGCATCTACATCCATGCCATCAGCTCCATCTGGGAAAACCGGTGGATCCAACTCTGGTGGAAAATCAGGTGGTGGTAAAGCCTGTTCTGCCTGTGGCGCCTCAAGACGTGGTTCTGGGAAGTCCTGTGGCCTGACGCCTGCCAAAAGAGGAAAAAGAGATTCAACATCATACTGGAGAGGTTCCTTCAGTTTGAAAGAGTGACCCTTGATCACCTCACGATACCCTTCAGCATCAACAGAAAATGGGTACCCCAAACAACCTCCACCAGTCACATACCTCATGCCGAGAAAATGGCACAACACCAAACGCTGACCAGGCCATTTTGCAGGGTGAATTGGTTTCAAAAACCCAACTGCCCCAAAAGGATAAGACCTAGGTGCCTGACCTCCCCGTTTTTCTCTCAAACGTTCTAAGGGGGTGCTCCCAGCCTTTCCCTCACAGTATGCGTTGTACGTCCTGTAGACATGTCCCACCAAATATCCCAAAAGGGGGGATTCCAACGCAATCCTGGCATTGCAATGGCGTTCAAGTGCCAACCAATTGGCATAGATCCCTTCTTTCATGATGCAAACGGCTCTCTCGATGCCTTTTGCCTGGGGTCTTGCCTCTGAAATGTTTCTCCAGTGATAGCCTCGTGCTGAACTAGCTGCAAGGCCTCTTTCAACCAAAGATTTCAGTGCTGCCTCATTGTCAGTAGCTACTTCTACAGACAACCCTCCAACACCAATCTCATTGAGAACTGCTGCAGTGGACTGCACGTCACGTTCTTTATCACCTCCACAAACCACCATGCCAACCATCCCAGTGTGAACCATCAACAGGACCAGAACTTTCCAATGTTTCCCTGCTACAAAAAGGAAATCAGCAGCAAGACTGTGGGGTGTTTCATGCTTATGACCTACTCTCCTAGCAGGTGTGCGTCCTCTTGACTGCACGCAATCATCACATCCCCTGTCATAAGGCCAATGGCCCCTGCACTCATGTTCCAGCCTGAGACGTCCATCACCCAATTCAGGGACACTGCACTCCAGATCTGATCCCTCTGGACCATCTGGTGTGTCTGGGCGTTCTGGCAAACCAGGTTCATGGGGACCCCAACCCTCCAAATCTTCTGAATTGGCAAGTGATGGGGAACCAACTTCAGAAACCTCACCTGCCTGAGGTCTATCACCATCATCACTGTCATCAACTTCATCTGTGTCAAGTCCTCAACCTGAGGAAAACCACGCATCATCCTAAAACAAGGGTCCACAAACGTCCAGTCACACCTGCATTTCCGATCAGATTGACCTGAACCTGTCCTCCCTTCATGGTATTTCCACTCCATGTGTCCAGATGTGCCATGATCTTCTTGTGACATGTCATCATCACTGTCTGTCGTTTCAGATGCACAACACGACATGAAATCATCTTCACTGTCTGTCGTTTCATCGTTTGTTTCAACGTTTGTCTTAAACAAAACGTCTGTTTCAATGGTATTGGGCTCATGATCATCAAAAACATGCTGAAAAAGACGACTGCTTCCAAAATGAAACATCCTACAAACATAGGAAAACGACTGCAACATGTCTGCACTCTTCATCTGAAGCTCCCGACGTTTGGCCTTGACATTGGCAGAACCTCCTGACCTACCCTTGGTGACCTGCGCAACCTCCTGAGTGGCAGCATGATTCACAGGGTCCTTAGTCAAAGAGTCCTTAGTTCCCTTAGTTACCAGGTCCTTAGCCACAACATCCTCAGGGACAACTGCTGCAACTGAACTACAACCACAACAAGTGTTTCGTTTGGTTTGTTTCGTTTCAGTGCTGTCAGTGTTCACAGTGTTTCCAGTGTTCATGGTGCTCAAGTCCATCGGTGCTGGTCCAGAACCCTTCACACCACTCTTGTGCTTTGAAAGCAAACTGACTTTCAGCCACCATGCTCTCTCAGAAATCTTCAAAGGAAGTTTCAATTTCTTCAAAAACAATCCACTCTCCTCAGCATTGCCAAGGACTGTCTTCCAACCAGTTTCCAAAAGGGCGTAAGTTGAGATCACATTCAAAGGAATTCCTACCACTACTACACGCTTCATGGTAATCTTCGTCTTACCTACCTTGAATTCCAGATCTACAACCCCTTTGACAGGCAGATCATTGTCTCCTGCACCCTTCAAGCTTGGAGATGGACCAGGATACTCAAAACTCACAGTGTAGTGCTTGACCCACTTCTCAGAAACGATGTGGCATGTAGCCCCTGAGTCTACCAGCCAGCAGGTCTTAGGATCTCCTATCCCTACACTACCTACAAAACCCTCCAGTGTGCTGCTCAGGTGGTGTGTCACCGGTCTCTCAGTACTCGATGTCCCTGTGGCCCCCTTTGGCCCACCAGCATCTGATCCAGTCTTCACTGCAAAGGATTTGACTACCATAGCAGCCTGGTTTCCACCCTCCTGCTCAACTTCTGGTTCTTGAGACTCCTCAGCCTCACAAGGCTCTTCACCTTCTTCAACTTCTCGAAACTTTCCTCCTTTCCCTCGACCTTTGCCTCGGCCTTTGCTGCCTTTGCTCTTTGCAGCAGGCTTTGCCTTAGGCTTTGCAGAAGGCTTGGGTGTTGAGGAAGCTCCAGGTCGTTTGCTGGGATCCTTGGCACAGCAGTCCTTAGCTGCATGACCTGACTTACCGCAATGGCTGCATTTCACAGG